GGTCTGGGGGTGCCCAGTTCAACCCCCTGCCCGAGAAGGAGATGGCGAAGTTGAGGCGGGGGAACTTGGTTTGGAACTTCGTCACGGCGGGGCAGTATGTCGGGGACCAGTCCAAGATGCATGGGGACCGGAAGTTGCGTTGCAACTTATGCGGCCACCTGTTTCAGGGGGGATCGTCGAAGGCCGCGCGACATTTTACGCAATCGAAGTACTGCAAGGCTGGGGGGATGAGAGTTCTCGCGGAACTCTGGAACGGCACGGGCTACATATTCGTGCCGTCCACTGCTCAGCGGTTGCAGAGGTGGATGGCGGACGAGGGGATACGGGACACGAGAGCGCCCGCGGGTGGCCAGTGACAACGGACGAACGACGGAGAGAGGGACGACATTCAGGACGCCCTCGATGAGGAGGAGGGCCGCGAGGGTGGGGCAAGGGAGGGGGGGGTGGGAGACGAGGCAGATGAGGCAGTCAGAGAGCCTGACCTGCCAGGGGAGGAGGTGGTGATGACGTCGAGAGGCGTCGGTCGAGCGGGTCCCGCTCCTAGGGCACCACGACCTGAGTTGGAGCGTGCGAGGAGGGAGAAGAGGACAGTGGGGCAGGCTGACGTTGAGGTGCGCGACACGGGCAGGGAGAAGAGGGCTCGGCAGACGACGATTTACGAGATGTACGCCAAGGAGAAGTTGGCCGAGTTCACAGACGCGTGGCTGCAGTGGATCTACGTGAAGGGGTTGCCATTCAACGCCTTCCGTGGTCCGGAGTTCCAGAGGGTGCGGCAGACGACAGAGAGAGTGCCTCGCAGTGTCCAGTTCCGGTTTCCCTCGTTCAGGGTTACAGCGGGCGCCGGTATTCCTTCGCAGAGGGCGAAGGTGGCGACGATGGTGAGCGAGGTGCGCGTCGCTTTCCGGCACAGCGGTGCAACCATCCTCTCCGACGGGAGGAAGTCGCGTAGCGGCAAGCCGCTTGTGAACTTCCTCGCAGGGAGCGCCAACGGCGCCCTGCTCTACGCCACGGTCGCACGTGACGGGTCGGTGCGAGACACAGCGGACATCGTGTACCGTAGGTGGCGGGCCATCATCTTGTCCTTTCCTGCAAAGGACGTGATCGGCTTCTGCACAGACTCCACCAGTAACTATATGGCGGCAGCGCGCAGATTCGCCACTAACCCCGACCACAACATTAGGAGGATCACTTGGCTCCCCTGCTCCACCCATGTCTGCAACTTGATGTTGTCAGGTATCGGGACGCGAGTGGGGTGGGTCAAGGACACCATCATCCGCGCTCGGGCGCTTGTGCGATTTATTAAATCGCACGGCGCTGCTCACGCCCTGTTTAGGAAGGTGAGCCCTCGCGTTCAGCTCGTCGAGCCCGTTGAGACACGGTTCGCATCGGTTTTCCTGATGCTGGCGTGTCTCAAAGGCCGACGAGACGCGTTGGAGAGCATGTTGCACGGGGATGCTTGGGCACGCATCCCGTGGGAGCAGAGACATGTATCGCAGACGCAGTGGGTGCAGCAGCAGATCCTGGACGCGGAGTTTTGGCGTTGTGTCCAGTACGCCCTCCTTATCATGGCGCCCGTCCACCAACTGTTGCGCAGGATGGATAGGGGGGGGATGATGATGTCGTCGTTTACGAGTGGAGTCAGCATGTGCTGCAGTTGATGAGGAGGGTCAACGTGCCGGAGGACATGATCGAGCCGTGCATGCGTGAGGTTGCCATCCGCAACCTCCACATGTTGGAGCCCGCACATGCCGCGGCCCACCTCCTCAACCCTCGTCGACGGTCCCTCACGTATTACGAGTCGTTATAGACGACCGCCGACGACGCCCGTGTGGTCGAGGAGTGCGACAGATTTCTCCTAGCGCAGACCGGCGGCGATTCGGTCGGCAGACTGTATAGGACCATGAGGGACCAGATGAGGGCCTTCCACTCGAGGCGAGGGGATTGGGGAGATCGGTCCCTCTCCGATGCTGAGGCGGACGATTGCAGGGGGGACCGTGAGAGCGAGCGATGTGCAGCGTGGTGGTTTGACCATGGATGGACTCGGAGTTGCGCACCATCGCCATCTGTGTCATGCAGTTGTGGACGTCTGCCTCTCTTGCGGAGAGGAACTGGGCGCAGCACGAGCGCATCAACACGGTGAGGCGCGCCAAGCTTGGGTTTGCCAAGCTTGCACAGCTGGTTGAGATTGCCACCAATCTCAAACTGGCCTCGTGCGCACGACAGGGTGGTGGCTACGTGTTGACATGGGTTATGGGGACCGGTCGGGAGGGGACGGCGACAGAGGACGAGGATGAGGAGGGAGACGTGGAGCCCGAAGTGTGGGGAGCGCGACCTGCTGGCAGTGTTCCAGAGGTGGAGATCCAGCGGCAGATTGTCGCTTTCCATGACAGCCGACCGTCCAGATCCCATTCGGTTCGGGACGTGTTCGGCAAGAGGGCGACGGAGCTGCGACCGTCGCCAGAGAGTGGGGATGATGCGGACGCTGATGCGGCAGACGACGACAGACGATGATGACACGCCGCTGAGTGGCGACCCGATGGCTGAGCGGGTGTACTTCACTTACGGTGGGGGACGAGACGACGTGGATTCATTCACGTCAGTTATCACTGGTGATGTGCCGTCGAACGCACAGGCGAGTGGCAGCAGCAGAGCCACTGGTGGTCGTGGAGGACGTTCGCGTGCGGAGGTTAGCGTCGACGACTTTGGGGAGCAGCAGCCACGGGGAGGTCTTCAGCAGACAGGCAGATGTTGGGAGGTTAGGAGCGACAGCGAGGCTGAGGAGGAGGTGCCCCTTCACGATCGTCGCTTCTCTCCGTCCCATCATCGGAGCGCTGCACAGCCCGAGGCACTTAGGCGTTCGGAGAGGTTGGCATCGGCAGCAGGCAGAAACCGGACACATGACGGCGAGGATCGTGGGGGGGAGAGGACTCCTTCCGACGTCGGTATCCGCCCCCGCTCGCCGTCGGTGCTCCGCACACGACTTTGAAGTCGGAGGGCTTGGTGGGCGCTTGGGAGAGTTCAGTGTCGAGGGACGTCGGCGTGCCTCACCGTCGGAGGTGCGCACCGACGCGGACGTTGTGCGGGGCCCTGTTGAGACCGAGGAGGAGAGGGATGCCCGTTTGGACCGAGAGGAGGCGGAGCGACTGGGGAGTTTGCCACGATGGGAGGGTCGGTTCATGTATCTTGACGAGCAGCGTCGGCGGAGGGAGTTGGAGACAGGAGGGGGGGGAGGCCGTGACGTCGACGACTCGGGTGTCCCTGAGGAGGCAGTTCATGGGGAGTTTGATGATGAGGGACAGGATGCCGCCGCGGGTGGTGGGTCAGGTGGTGGACGATGCGGCGACGGGGAGACCGTGGGTGATGAGGGGCAGGATGTTGTCGTGGGCAGTGGGTCCCCTAGTGGGGGGCGTGGCGACAGCGAGACCGTGGGTGACGAGGGATAGCGTGCCACCGTGTGTGGCAGAGGAGAGGGTGGACCCGGTGGAGATGGGGATACCGAGGGTGTCGGGGGAGACGATGGACCGGACGGAGATGATGACGACGACCACGGTCCCGAGGACGATGCTTTGTCGACGCTTTGGAGCAAGCATTGACGGATGACCCTTTCGCACACATGAGACGCAAGAGCGGCAAGAGGCGGGCCCCTGGGAGGGTATATTCACCGCCGCCGTTCGTGGTGGAGAGCCCTCGCTGGTCGGGTTTGTCGCTCAGCGGTGTGAGAGGGAGGGAGTCCGGAGCGGGTGAGGTGGGGTCCGGCAGACGCAGCGACGGCGGCAGAGACAGTGCAGGATCGATGCCTCCACCGCCCGCACGGACTCTGGAGGCCGGGGTCGACGCCGGGGACCAGACGCGGCACCCGGAGTTGCGCACAATGGCGGTTCCCCGCCGACAGTCCGAGGTGGTGTGGGTGGCGGATGGTCAGCTGTTCGTCGGGTCGGGGACCGGTTGCGTGCGGATTACGACGCCGGGAGGGGCGTCTTCACGGAACGTATGCCAGTTCAGACGCAGGCTGCGGAGGGTGGGTCCGGATGTCTGAGCCTGCAGATGGCAGGCCGCATGCTCGGTTTGTCACGAGCGGAGACGAGGAGATCATTGGTCCTCGAGGCCGCAGGGACATCCACGGACATGCTGCGGGGAGAGCAGTTCACATCAGGCGAGGAGGGGTTGTTCATGTGTCCCGGGACGAGACGACAGTGTGGCCTCTCGGAGGTTGAGGCTCGACTCGCGGCAGGGGTCGCCGCTGGCCAGGCAGCATTGGACGCGATTCAGAGGGAGAGAGAGATGGGGATTGCTGCACGGGCGACGGAGGACGAGGACGTAGAGACAGAGTGCGAGTCGATCGAGACTGCGGCTTGTAGACACAGGGCACAGGTGGCCGCGGCAGCCGCTGCAGCAAAGGCGGCATACCTCAGCGGAGCACGGGGCAAAGGTGCCGGAGGGAGAGGAGGGCGACGGGGAGGACCGCATGGCCGCCCGTCCTCCGGGAGACGCGCGCTCTGGAGGGATATGACGACGTCCGTGGTATTGTGTTTTTTTCACTAGTTTTTTTTGTTTTTTTGCGTGGCTGTACAGCTTGGACACTCTGTCGGCAGGGTTGTTGCATATTTATGTCGATGTTGTTTCATGGAGACGACGACAGTATGTGGACATTAGGGTTTTTTTTTTTTTTTTTTGCTACTCAGTTGTACAGTAGAGACGACGGGTCCAGTTTTTGGCTTCAGCCTTGTACATACGCATTTCCATTGAAATGCTTTGTCAGTAGGGTCCAATTTTTTTTTTTGCTACTCGGTTGTACAGTAGAGACG